CTCCTTGACACGAGAATAAAAGGTCTACATATCAAACTTGAAGGCTCCTTGACACGAGCATAAAATGTCTACAAATTTGAAGGCTCCTTGATACGAGCATAAAATGTCAACAAATTTGAAGACTCCTTGATACAAGTGTAAACTATCTGTCAAATCAAATCAAGACTCCTTGTTACGAGTTTAAACTAACTACAAACCATGTCAAATGAAGAACTCTCTGATATGAGTTTAAACTATCTACAAACGTAATTTGAAGAACTCCTGGATAAGAGTTTAAACTATCTACATGTCCGAACCAAATTCAAAATTTTGAGACTCATTCACTACCAAGACATTTTGTCTGTGAACAAGTCTCAATGGGGCATTTGTAGACATCGAAATTTTAATATTTTATTAATTAATGTCTTTATTTTATTTTGGATATAAATCTAAGATAAATAAGATATTTAATTAATAAAGTAATTGTTTCTTGCCCACCAAGTCAAATCTTAGGATAAGGAAAGAGATTATATCAAATCTTAGGAGAAGGAAATAGATTATGTCAAATCATGAAGGACCAATCAAATTGAAGTTATCTTCTCCAAGAACTCTCTCTCCTACACCTATAAATAGGATTTTCCTCAATACCACAAATCACACCTCAAACACCTCAAAAATATCAAACCTATCTAAAAAATAAAAGTCTCAAATTCAAGAGATCTCAAGAACCCTCTTGAAGATTTGAAGAAGTTCTTGAAGAACTGCTCGAAGTTCATTCAATGAAGAAGAAGGCGAAGAAGAAGAAAAAGAGGCGGCGACTCTTCCTCAAGAAGTAAAGAGACGACTTTCACGCTTCTCAAGTCAATCCAAGAGTATAAACGACGTTCAAGCGACATTCAAGCCGCGTTCGTTGAGAAGTTCAACCAACATAGCGTTTGATCCGAGAAAAAGCTATCAAGCCCCCGAATCAACGTTATTCAAGTCAGAGTCCCTCTTTTAAGAAGATCAAAGAATCAAGTCTTCCAAAAAGTCATATTCAATCAAATCAAGCCTAACATTTAATATGGGAATAAGTCATTCGACCCCCAAATTAATGTTAGAGAAATTCAAGACTAAGCCCGAAGGAGATTCATTCGTCAAAACCATCTTTGAAGGTCTCAATCCCAAATTCATGAAGAGAAGAATCAGAGGAGATAAGTACCCGCCATATCGTTTGATCGAAATATACAAGTTGTACAAAAAGTTTTATGTATTCCGTTAAATTTACTGTTACAATACCGTAAAATGAATTTAAACATATCATAGGAATGATCTAGTCGAGGCTTCAAAATAATATGTAAATTGTTGAAATCCATCACTGTTAGATGGTTACGAGTAGCGGCTAACGGTATTGACCGATGCCGGCGAGATCATCTGATCTCCAACTCTAATATGCTTTTAATTAAACAAGCCACATTTTTTTAATTAATTTTATTTTGTGTACATGGGCTTGAAATAAAACATAATATTATTTTTTCTTGAATTAAAATTAATTATAATCTAAATTAAAGTAATGGTATAATACGAGGTGTACGAGACATTTAACATATTTCTTTCCCCTGCCTATTAAATGCAAGGTTGATATTTGTTGTTTTGATCAATCTAATGGTAAGGCGAAATGATACCTATTATTTTTTTTAGGTACAAAAATGGAGGCCAAAGGCCTGATAATAATAGATGATACCTATTATTAAATATGTACGAGTGTAACCAACCCTAAAAGGTCGGTTGTTGTTACTTATATCTCATTGTTCAAAGTTAAAAACTGGTGGAGAAGAACTATTGAATATATTGTACGCATGTTGTGAAGGCTGTATTATTTTGATTTTTTTTTCGGTACAGAATAAGTAGGCCAGAGGCCTAGAAACTAAACTAACACACGTAAGACAACCCGCTAATGTCATGATCAATCTATGCACCTAGACCTAGGGGAGGTGTCGAAGTCCGTAGAACGCCCAGTGGGGACGAAGCCGCGAGTCCCGCCAAATTATCCGCCCGCATAATTCGCCTCGCGATGCACATGTTGTATACGTATGTGCTAGTCCCTTTGAAGTAACTCCCTGATCACACGGACTATAGCGATTTTTTTAAAAGGCTCAATAACGATTTCTCATTTACCTTTTTGGATGACTTAAATTCAGACCTATTGGTTTCTAGGGAAGTGTGCTACCAACTATTATTATTATTTTTTTTTTTTTTGGCTACCAACTAATATTTGTAATTTGTACATATTGATAATGACAGAAATGTTATGGAGCTCTCAGATGGTTCTCTTATGGAGCCATCCACAACTTTATGTATCGATAGGTGTCTAATGTGTATTTATTGCAGGACACGTATCACTACACCATTGTGAATAACTATGGATGACTTCATAAATCGAGTCATCCGATGGGTCCATAGCAAAACTGTTGATAATAATACCTCAACTAAAATTGCAAATTACCACAATTTCAGCTCGAAAGCATTGTCAGAACTCGTAAAGACAAAATCAGTGTTGTCCAACTTACAATACAAAAAACAGGCCAAAAAAAATAGAAAAAAAATACAGTGTGACAAGCAGCCTTAAAAACACAATTGAATCCAATTGACCAAGAATTTCAAATCTCTCAATAACTAAGACACGCAATAAACGTCACAAAAAAAGAAAAATATCAGACATAATACCTGTGTCGATTATCCTCGGAAAGACTGACCAAATGTATGTTTTGCTTGTTCACGTTCCTGTTCCCCTTCTTCTTTTTCTTCTTCAACGGCTTCGACCCACAAAAGATGCTGAACTGAAACCCGTACGCATTCCCAAAACACGAGAAAAGCCCTTTTTTCTTGTTTTCGGTACGTACTCTCTTTCGGCACTGCCCGCCCACGAACCTCTTCTCGGCTGGCGCCGCAAGGCAGACGATCGGGTCATCCACCACGGGCCACCGCTCGTCGGTGGGCCCCACGTTCAGTTCCTCGCTTCTTTTGTCGCCTTTTTCGGTCCATCCCTCGAAAACCGAGCTCCCGTAGTCGTTCCATTCCGCCGAATAGAGCCCCCTTTTCAAATCCGCTGCCACCTCGGACGGCAGAGGTCGCATGACAGAGTAGAAGGAACCCCCGGCTGAGGTGGCGACGATAGTTCTTGTTTCGGCCTCGGATATGTGTTGTGATGTCGTCCTGCTGATGTGGCCCAGGACTGGTGGGGACGTGTCTTCTGGCAGCCTAGGATTCATGTTGTCTTGCTCCTGCCAAATTTTTAGATGAAAGGTACATGTTAGTGTTGCATAATTTGTTATGTGGATATTTGGCACATATATGTGTAAGGGAATGACTACAGTCCCGTCAGAAATGATTATGCGATTATTATTAGTCTTTAGATACACACACATGTATAGATTAGTTTCGGGTAGATAATTCATTGTTACAACACACAATGACACGGAATCATTCCCTGATGGGATTGATTATGTAACTATTATTAGTCTTTAGATACATATATAGATTAGTGTATGGTAGATAATCTATTGTTACAATACAATGACTTAAAATCATTCTATAACGAGACTGTAGTCATTTGCCATGTGTGGGAATCAAGGGGAATTAATCAACAGAAATATTATTTATTAGGCAATTTGAGTTGTTAATGGACTAGATGTTTTGCATATTATTATTATTATTATTATTATTATTATAATTATTATTATTATTATTATTATTATTATTATTATTATTATTATCATTATTATTTGTAGGAATTAAGAATAAAGAAATTAAAATAGAATCATATTTCTCCACCTGGAAATGTTGTTGTTGTTCATCTTCTTCTTCCCTGACAAAATATCCATTAATCCCTTGTTCCTGCTCTTGATCCTTTACAGTAACTCCAAACTCGTCACGTGGTGGGGCCACAAGCTGGACTCCGACGTGCAGAGTGCCCTGCAGATGACCCGAGGGGCGGCAAACCTGGAGATCGACCCGTCTAAAACCCGGGTTCTTAGACAGGCTGTTGATCATGAGGCGGCAGGTCCCGATCGGGAGGTCTCTGAGCCAGGCCAGGTTGTAGATCTCGATTGTCACAGCTGAGGACTCGCTCTTCAACAACAGATCGTCCACGTGGAAAGCCACCTTGTAATTCCAAGTTGGGCTCGTGTGGCCCGTATGGTCGATCCGTGTGGTCAGCTTATGGTCGGGGCTGATGTAAGCGACAGCGAACGTGCGGAGCATCTTGGAGACCGGGGGAAGGTCGTGGGCCGACATGATGTTGAGCTCGAGGAGTTTAAGCGAGGTCGAGGAGGAGGGTGGGGCCCACATTTTCTTTTTCTTTCGTCTTTTCGTTGTTGTGGTGGTGGCCGCCCAGGGGAGACGGGGAAGGACGAGAGAAGATGCATGAAATGGGAGTTTAGGGGTACACTATTGTTGGTGGTGTTGGGAAATGGAGGGTGGGTATGGAAAGAGTGTTGTTTGTTTGTTTCTTTGATTGCTACGAGAAAATAGGTGATATGTGGGTCACAACAAACGGTTATTTATGTTTGGAATAGAAGATAAAATTGAATTGGGTAGAGTATAATATTTACACCATCTAAATGTTATGCACCATGGATCTGTTTGTATATTTAGAAAAAGAAAATAGTGAATATTATAATTCTTCTTATGTTGTTATTTTAAATATGTTACTTTCCTGTAAAATTATGCATAGTTATTAAGAAAATATGTTTGTGTATCAACTGGTTCCGGTGAAGGTTCGTGGTTCGCGGTTTAACCTGTTCAGAACAATTTGTTTATCAAATTAGTGCCGTCTGTGGGACAAACTGCAGTTTTTTTTTTTTTTTTTTGTCGGCTATAAGAGATTGATAGATTTTTCTTTCACAAAAAAAAAATAAAAAAAAAATCGAAGATTATTGCAGACGATATTTCAAGAAGAATCTGATGAAAGAATTTGATGAGGCATGGACAAAGAGAGCGTTTGGAACCAGCCCTCCTCCGGCTAGTCACAGTCTGCCGGCACTCTCGTCACGCCACAAGAGACGTTGTGTCGTTACCGAGTATGCCTGAAGACCTACAACGGAGCAATACCAGTAAGAGGACAGAGGTCAAGAAATCTTAGACCAAACAGTGGCACGAGGCAAAGAAAGACACCGACAAGAAGGCTCAGAGGCTAATTAATCGACCTCAGGATCAAGCAAGAGGCCAGCTTGTGCACCCCAGTAGACAGGAGGCCCCAGGGGAGACCAGGTTATCCACCTTACCAGAGCGGAGTTAGATAGGATTGAGGCTGTGAATTAAGCTCACAAAAGACTAAAAGTGGGAGAAACCAGGTCGGTCACGTCGCAAACGACCATGTCACAACCTACTCGAGAAGCTGCACTTGAGCGCTTATCAACATGACTACGAGATTTGCATGCTCGAGTCCAAGAAAGGTTGGTACCTCAAGTCCATGATCACCCGTTTTCCGAGGAAGCTTTGGAAGAAAACCTGTCTAACAATTTATGTGAGTTGAGTTTGTCTTACGATGGCTCGCCGGATCTTACTAGATACCTGAGGTCATTTGAGAACATAGCGATTCTTCACAAGTATAGCAACACCGTCAGCTGTAGAGCCTTTCTCAATAGCTTGATAGGATCAGAACAGAACTGGTTCCACCAGATGCTAGTCGGGTCGATCCACAGCTTCAAGAGGTTTGGCTCCTTATTTATGAATCAGTTTGCGAGTGGACAAAAATATGATAAAACGTACTTAGCATTGATCAATATACAAAAGAGAGAAGGTAAGACCCTCCGTGAGTATGCAGTTTGCTACACAAAGGAGTGTGTGAAGGATTACGACTAGGCAAATCCAAGGGCTCATCTGCAAAGAGGCCAAAAAGGTCTTTCCATGATCTTCTGGAAATGTGCAGCAAGTATGTCAACATGGAGGAGGCCGAGGCTGTCTTCTTACAGAACGACAAGGCTAAAGCCAAGCGAGTAGAAGAGAAACCTTGTTCGGACGGTACAAAATCCCAGAATAAAGAGTCTACATCGTAGGATCGTCCAAGAGTATGGAACAAGTATGGGAGCTACATGCCCTTGAACGTGCCTCAAAGAGAGGTTTTTGAGGTCCTTAAGAAGCGGGTCGATGCGAGAATTCTCTCCCGACCTAAACCCTTACAAAAAGAGGGGTTACGTACCTACACCGAGTGATGCGTATTGCAAGCACCATAAGGATTATAGACATTCGACCAATATTTGTAGGGAGCTGAAGGACGAGAATGAACGGCTCATCCGAGCCGGCCACCTTAAAGAGTTCGTCTTTAAGGACAAAGAGTGAAAGATAGACATGGATGTCGGAGAAAAATGGAGACATCCTGACAAACAGAGATGCCCTAAAGAACAAGAAGAAAGCGTCAAGAAAGGGATGGATCAAAATATTGCAGGAAGTTCCACTGATGGGGACTCCCACAATGAGAAAAAGAGGAAGCATCGCGGGAAGGAGATCGCCAGCGAGGTCGCAGAGGTAAAAGTCACTTAAGTCCATAGTGACGCTTAAATTCAGAGTGGAGGACCTACAAGGCATTTCTACGTCGCACAACGATGCATTAGTCATCACTTTTGAACATTCTTGATTTTGTTAACATAGTGCTTGTTTACATAATATCACATTTACATTTAATTGATACCCAAAATTTAGCTCAACGCTATTATCTTTAACATTATAACTAATTATCATTTCTTTCATACTTTTAAATCAAAATTTAATTATATTATTTTAAATATTATTTTAATATAAACTCAAAAATTCACTAATCATATCATTTTTTGTTTAAAAAAAAAACTTTGGTAACTAAAATAAACTTTGATCGAATTATTTTGTAAACAAACACCGCTTAAATTATTAAGTATTTTCTAGAATTATCTCGTAGAGGCAACACATCTTGACATTTCCTCTTCATTCAGGAGGGCAATTTCATCAGTTTTATGTCATTGTTGATCAATTGGGTGGGTGAGGAGGTGAGTTTCCCTTTAATTTCCACTATACTTGTGACACGCTACCCTTGCTGCTCGTGTGTTGTTGCCGATTCTTCCTCCGGCGATTACTATTCGCACCGCACACTATTGTTAACTCACAACCGTAGGCGTTCCCAAAGCAGGTGCACAATCGACCGCCGTCGGCCGTTCTCCTCCTCCTCCTCCTCCTGCCGCCGTCGAGCCGCGGATCGTGCGCCTGCGGGATCTCCATCTTCCACCGCTCAATCTCTGATTTCAAACCACCCTCGGTGCTCCTTTCCTCCACTGCCCAATCCTCCAGCACCGAGCTTCCGGGCTTTGGAGGCGGCCCGAGGTGCGTAGGGTAGAGTCCCCACGCCACAGCCGCCGCCACCACAGATGGGGACGGCCCCACGTCCGAATTGCAAACGGATCCATTCACCACGGAGCCGCCGTTGAGAGCGTTGGGCAATGTGCCTTGAACTTGATTGTAAATCAAATCAGCCCCGGGCTTCTTTTCGCTGCCCGGTTTTCTAGTTAATTCCGTCTGCGATCTGCGTAACCCAATCTTCTTCTTCTTCTTCTTCCCATCGAAATTATCCAAATTATTCCTTGTGATCAAGTGATAATCGATCGGCATGCTCCGCATTGTGTTGTCGAGAAGCGAGACCCCCATATTGAGAATCCCCTGCGGTCGGCCCGAAGGTCTCCTGATTTGGAGAGCCACAAACCGCCGGCAGCTCGACCTCACCGACGGCGGCACCAGTTTGCTGAGCAGCACCGTCACCGTTCCCACCACCGTATCACGAAGCCATCCCTGCGCGTAGATCTCGATAATCATAGACGATGTCTCCGAACTTAGGGTCCGATTGTTGACCCGGAACACCAACCTCTCGTTCCAGGTCGGGTCGGTCCGACCCGTCTCATTGGTCCTGGT